TGTTGAACAGCACAAAGCCAGAGTTCAGTCAGAATCATCAAGGCAAGCTGAATATAGACAACAAGAAACTTCTGAACAATGTCAAACCAGACTTCAAGCACAAAAATTAAGACAAATAACTTACAGAGAGCAAGAAACAGAGGTGTAATATGATGTAGAGTTCAGGCTCAAAGAACAAAACAAGCTCAAACACGATCTAATTTCAAATAAAGCTTTGTTTGATTAAATGCTTTTTTATTTCTCGCATCACAGCTTTTGTCTACTTAATTGAATAATTTGCTGAAAAAAATACAGATCTATGTATTTCAAATCTAAATTTTCACTATGCAATGCTAAGTAACTCAGCTAGTTTAATAATAAAAAATACTTTATTATTCTAACACAACACTACACACAATGTAAACAACTTTACCAACCTAACATTAATGATCAAAGCCTGTGGAGAGAAGCTACAATTACAAACTGATATATCAATCATTAGCAAGAAAGTAAGCTATTAAATGATTCATGATTGTTTATCATTAGCAATCTAGCATGTAAAATAAGCTACCAGCTTTTTTCTTGTACATAATATATAAAAAAAGAAGGCTTGCTGTCCACTTAAGCTTTTTTAACTTAAGTTTAACTAGTCTTAAGACTTGAAAGAAACAAGGTACTGTTGTGTATATGATCAGAACAGAAACTGATCATTGATTAAAACTGAGAGATATGTAGCTTTTAGTAACGTGAATTATCTCAATTTTTCATAGTGTGTAGAAAGTAGAAGAAAAATATTGTATTGTCTTTCATACTTTATAAAGGTCATCAGCTGCAACAAACAGGCAATGGGGAATCAAAATGGTATGATTAAAAGAGCTTTCAAACTTTCATACAAAAGTAGTTATTAACATAACGTTTTGGGACAACATTTGACCTATTGGTCCATCTCGGCTGTTCCATCCACTAAACTAAAACTATTAATAAATAAATTTTAAAAAGAAAAAAAATCTTTAAAACAGCCCTTGTCATTCATATATTTATTAAGCTTTCTCTTAAATTTACTGCCTCCAAAACATCCAAAGGCCAACCATACTGTTAAAAAAATAAAACTGTCTTGGCTGAAGCTAACTCCTACCTTGCAAAAATTTATACTGTTGCGTCATCGAGATCACGTGACAATTCTCACGCTCTCTTGTTTCTAGAACTATCATGTACTTTGGCGAATGTTCTACTTCTTGCTAGAAATAGGTTACGCTGGTATATAAAAGATGGGAATGTAATGTGTGTAGAGATAGTGAGTAATTGATCTGCGGTCGGAGTAGTATTGACGTTCGTTGCTATAGCGTTTGTTTAGCGCGATTGTTGAGTTCAGTGTATCGGTAAAGTTATATTCGGAAAGAATAAACTAGTTTTATTAAGTAAAGACTTGTGTCGCGTAAATTTCGTCGGAACGAAGTTACGGAAAATCAGTTAATCAATTAAAAAACGGAGACGTAACAGATTGGTGTCAGAGAGTGGGATAGAAAAAAAAAAAAGAGAAGAAAAATGGAAACGAGAGGCGGAAAATCAAACTACAGCTTAGCAGACTTGATGGACAGAGGAGCAGAAAGCTGTATATCTGGCAACGAGCTTGAA